AAAAAAAAAAAAAAAAAAAAAAAAAAAAAAAAAAAAAAAAAAAAAAAAAAAAAAAAAAAAAAAAAAAAAAAAAAAAAAAAAAAAAAAAAAAAAAAAAAAAAAAAAAAAAAAAAAAAAAAAAAAAAAGACACCCAGAACACGTGTGTAAACACAACTCACAATTCTCTTTATATTGTCAATTATTTAAAATCACTCATTGCTCACTCAGGGAAATGAAAAACAATGAAGCAAACAAAACCCCAGAGAGGAGGAGGCTGATGAAAATAAAGTAATATTTCTAATGAGCTAATCCTTCCTTGTTGATCACATCAGTCAGGGCTTGAGGAGGAGCTAGGAGGACCTGAAACATTTGAGCCATTACACTGACGCTGGAATCTGCAGCCGTAAGCATTCATTCATTCATCTTCATTAACTGCTTTATCCTACCCAGAGACTGAATATGCAGTGGAAGACACTGGGGAAAGAGTGGCGAGGAGAAGAGATGTCAGAAGAGAGGAGTAAAAGAGGTAGAAAGAGATGAGTAAAGATGCAGAGGACAGGCAGTAGGAAGATTTACAAAAGAGAAAATGGGGAATTGGGGAAGAAAATGGAGAGGAAGAGATGAAAGATTTCAAATAATTTGATGGCCACTCTAACTGAGCATTTCTTCAAACACGTCTTCAACCATGTCCTCTCCCAAAGGGATCCTGGGCCATACATAGTATTGGGACCATACAATACAGGAAGACTCCTCATTCTCTTTTTAGTCACATAAGTGCTATGCAAACATTATGCAAAACACTTCAATTCTGTACGCACCAATATTGGTAGACCAGAAAGGGCTGCAAAATATTACCATTTTCATTTTCAGCATTTTATTTGTATAGTCTGCTTTAAACACTCTACAAACCACGTAGACTGTCAACCATGTACCAGCCTATCAACTGTCTCAGCAACAGGGACTAGGGAGGAGCAGATAATGTATAGGTGATCCGTCAAACATCAAGAGCTATAAACTGGACCTTCCAAATAATGTGAAAGTACAAGCTGATGTAGATGTAGAGCGTCTACATCTATTTGGACTATCCAAATAAAGTGTTACCCCATTTTTTAAATCATTCAATTTAATTCAATTTGAATAGCACTTTTTAAAATAGGTTTTGTCACAAAGCAGCTTTACAGAAATCCGGATGTGGATTTAGATCCCTAATGAGCAATCCGGGGTGACATTGGCAAAGAAAAAACTCACTGAGACAACATGAGGAAGAAACCTTGAGAGGAACCAGACTCAAAAGGGAACGCATCCTTGTTTCGTTGAAACTCAATAGATTAGGAATTAATATAAATATTGATTATAAACCATTACAGTATACAGGTATAGAACAGGAAAGACAAAGAGTACTAAGAGTGTTGAGAGGATGTTTATTGTGAATACGAGTCCTGGTATGAACACAGGACAGACTGTATGATTACAGCAGACTGTATGATTACTCCTCCGCATAATTAAGGGGTGACGTGATGTCCGAGGTGGAGCGTGAGCACGGAGCAATAGCCACCACAAAGCCAGTTGGGGGGGGGCAGAGTTCAAGGTGGAGCCAGAGGGGGGGGTGCATCATCCTCCGCAGAGCAAGGACGCAGAGTGACATCCTCCGCCGAGCAAGGACGCAGAGTGACATCCTCCGCCGAGCAAGGAGGCAGAGCAACATTCGAAGTGTTGCAGGGAGGGTGGGAGGTGGCTTTAGTTGTGTCGGTAGCTCCCCTCAAAAAATTTATTGAGTGGGCGCATGGCGTCGAGCCAGTCTTGAGTGGCTCTGACTCAACTTCTTTTCCCCTGTTGCTCCCACAGCAGGCGGTTCCTCTCCAGGAGGACAGTGAAAAAATCTCATTTTTACAACAGCACAGTGGCAAATACGGCTTAACCACAAGGAACATCTTTTAATACCTATAGCACTTACACTGCCTTCTGCCATTTTCAATTCTGACAGCTCTTCCATGCCAGTACCATTGCCTTATGGCATAGCGCAGTGGCCATTGGTCCCATACTGCAGAATCTCGGTGGAAGAAGGTATTCTGGGTATTTCTCACCAACTGTTTTATGAATACTGAGAATTTGGACATACTTCTCCTTTGGAGTACTGCTTTTTGCATAGTTTGGTAGGGTAGCAGGGATTCACACTATATAATGCCTCCAGTGTTTTCTCTGCGAAGCCTTCTTCTTCTTCTTCGTCTTCTTTTTACTGAAAGGATTATAAATCAATTACCAATAATTAGACATATACGTGTCCACAGACTTCCACTAAATCAGTATTCGGCTTACCTACCATCTGGGAAACAACATACATAATGAGAATTGAAAGCTAATATTTGATCAATTAGTCGTATTACAGTAAGGGTTTGTAGGGTGTTAAATATTAAGACAACGAGATATGTGCAATGTATTATCATTATTATAATAACTCAAAATAATGACATAATATCTTGAAATAATAAGTTATTCATACGAAATAATGAGACAGCACTTCAACTTTCTTCCTGATGACTTGTGGTCATTGATGAGAAATGTAATATTTTATGTAAACTATACATTATATTGTCTCTTAATT